TTATAATCATTCGATTATAACGGATGGCTATTTGTTTTATGGTTCTCACTTATGTATATATGATACCTTTATGATCTTACTGCTGATTTACATTCAGGTGGTTTCAGCAGACAACTTGGTAGACATAATAATACATTTCATTAGTGGAAGAAAGTTGTTTGGCTATACGGAGAGATGTTTATCGTTTTGGCAACAAGTACATGAAATGTTGGGTGGTGAAGGGGCATTTGCAGAATACAGGTTTGTACACACATTTGCTAGTGTCCACCACGCGACAAGTGGTCTCGGCAGACACCTTGCAATAAGAGTGGTTTTAACTTGATTATGGCAGTTGTTGGCAGATTTTTAAAAATGTATCTTACTTTATTCCATGCAGGAGCACGACAATTGTGACGCGACTTCATGGGTACCAATGCCTATATTACCACGGATTGTGATACCAGGTCTAGAGGAAGTCATGGGGAAGGATGGACACTAAACTTCCCAGTCAGTAGTGCCCATCACCCGCAGAAGGATGGGAAGACAGATGGTAAATTGAAGCGTTGGTAATATGGGATGTTGTTTTAACACAAGTTGAGTTTACACATAGTAACTCATCAAATCGCAAAATAGGGAGAGTCCATTCACTAATGTTATGGTATGAAACCTCTACACTCCATGATTTATTTTATTTAGCGGTTTAGGAAACTGTAGATGCCGAGGCTCTTGATATGACCAAGTATATGGAGGAGCTTCAGGAACAAGTTCGTCAGAAATTCGAGGTGAGCTATGAGCAACATCAGAATACACTTAATCGACATTGGTGCATTAGATTGTTCAAGGAAATGATTTCGTTACGGCACACCTTCAACGAGGACGATTTCTAGCAGGCACTTATGAGAAGTTGAAAGCAAGGAAAATTGGCCCATAAATCACTAAGAAGATTAATGATAATACTTATGAAGTAGCGCTGCCCGAGGGACGGATGATCTCACCAATCTTTGATGTTACCAACCTGTTCGAGTTCATGCCAAGCTCGACTTTACAGAGCCAAGTCGTGTCCATAGGAAGGATGATGTAAACCAAGATTATCAGATTGTCGAGTAATCTAGAGCACGAGATTGAAGGATGCTGGCAAGATTTCTCCTTTTACTTTTATGCTTAGATATTTCTTTAATTTAATTCATGATTAAGCTTTGCTAGTTGCTGTTTAGTGGCTTATATTAGAACTCGGGTAGAATGGTATGGTGAGCTAGGGCACTTTAGAAGTTTCTCTACTCATGGAGGTTAGTTCAGCCATTGTGTTGATTAGGGTTTAACATGGAAATTTATTATATTTAGCGTTGCATGGGGAACTCCGCAATGTAAGAACAGTAGCCTTTTGATTAATGAAAAAACGAATTTCTTTTCTCCCACAATATTGTAGTTGCTGTGACTAAGATGAAAGGATTGATCAAGAAAAGTACAAGGGCGGTCTTCTTTTCCTCCTTGATTGTTCAAACAATTCCTTTTGTTGCTGAATCCATCACAGATCTTCTCTGTCCTGCACCAATGTTGCACCACTTGGCCAGACCTCAGTCAACTCTCATGAACTTCCTTGAATTCATGATTGAGTCATGCCATATCATATATTGCATTACCAAGCCAAATAGCAACATACAAATTCAGAGCTCTCATAAATAGACCAGATTTGCTAACTTAAGAAAGGGTAAGATATTGGAATTGTCAGATTTGGGACTGAAGAATGGAACAAGTCAGGTGACGTTGTAGGTTACCAGGATACCAATCAATTCATTCGAGAAGACAACTAGGAGGGAAAGGTCTAGATAAATGATTAGATCTTTACACTCGTTTCGTTTGTGTTTTTTCTTTTTTTGAGAGATATTACCTTTGTGTTTTAGGTGCATTAAAAGTGAACATCTAATCAGACAGGATCATATCCATTATTGTCATTGTAAATGGCAATGGAAAAAAACAGCAGGTTTCCAAGTCCAGAACACCCCCCCAACTCGGAATATATATACCTGTAATTAATTATAATTAACTTGTGATGATTCAATCTTTATCTAAATCAAGTATAACTGATTCATAATTGGTTATGAATCAGTTTTATATATACTTTTGGATTTTTTACTATTTTCATTTTTTTTATTTATTTTGATATTTAACTGTTTTCTTTTCTATACTTTGTAACCTTTGTTCACTTCTTTTATATACTTTCTATGGTTTTTATCAACTTCCCTTATTTTTTTACCATTTTTTAGTAGTTTCCCATTTCCCTTGTTTTTGCTCTTAGGGAGGCTCAGGCAAAAGTCGAGCGAGACAAGACAGACTTGCCCGTGTCAATTGGCTAGCCAGGGAGGCGAATTCTGAGCCCCAGCCCATGCTTAAAAATATTGCTACATAGTAAATACAATGACTCATGAACCAATCGCCCTAACCTCAGCCAATGAGGCATCATTCCGTTCATGCATAGTCAATATCAGGGCATGGAAGCCTATGCATGCACGAGCATCAACAATCCAAACCTCCTAAGAGCCAAACCGACAATCTCCTAGACCAAATCATTGTTCCAAAGACTAAAAACTCAGTGACTCGGGCTCAGACTGGCCAAGTCACTCAGACCTGGAAGGGACCTTGAGACTCTCCCGAGTAAGCATCTGACTCAGGCTCGAGCCCCCAAATCCATGCTTGAAATCACATTCATTGTTCTATCACCTGCTACTGTGGGAATTTGGGCAGTATGCTCCTTTTAGAAACAACAAGTTTTTAGAAAACAACCAGTCAGGCATAATCACCACAAAACACCTTGAGCAGCATGCAAAACAGTTCCTAAATCTGGTTGGATCACCATATAACTGATGTGAATAAAACATGCATTATTTGAGTCCTTGCTCCCAAAAAAAATACCTCCTAGGGATCTGAAACTTTAAAGCTATCACTAGTTGAAACTGGTATTCACTAGCACAGACGAGCTGATTTGGACTCTCACCCAAGTCACTTCGCTCGGCAGGGTATGGAGCCGAGCGGAAGCGGGAGCGGGGGCGGGGGCGGGGGCGGGGGGGCAATCAGGGGTGTATAAACTTTCTTCATTTTTTGTCATAGGCGTATCCATTTGAGCTCAAATTTTGCCTATAGATTCATTTTGCAAGATCAAACCATTAGGTATATCAGACTTTCAAACCATTAGGTAGATCAGACTTGAGCATAAACCATCAAATTTGACCGATTTGAGAGATTAAAGGTTTTGATCTAGGTTTTGCCAATTCCAAAAAATTGAAGTTACTTCTCAATGGCTGGTCTATCTTTAGTCTATCTTTGATGAAATTCCATAAGCCTATTTTTTTGTTCTTTATCCAATCATAGGCTTGTTTTCTCACCAAACAACACATAAAATCTCAAATTCATGAATTTGTAAGTATTGAATTTACTACTCACCAGAAAATTTCAATAGCTCCGATCAACTAGATTGGAACTTGAATCCCAAATCTGGTTTGAGGGTTTTGATTTAGGTGCCTGAGGAAGCTTTGCCAATGATTGGGACATCAACTTGCACCAAGTGCAAAGAGTAGAGGATCAGCCTCAAAATTTTGTATGAATTTCATTTCTTTCAATTTAAATTCATAGAACTGATAGACTTATCTTTTCATTTATCATGTTGTATGGAGATATGCAACTAGAATTTTATGTGATAGCCGCATACCAATGAAGCTGAAGGACAAGTTCTATAGGATAGCTGTGAGAGCACATTTGCTCTATGGGGCATAATGTTGGCGGACAAAAAAAAATATACCCATAGAATGAGTGTAGAGGAGATGAGGATGTTGAGATGGATGAGTGGCAAGACAAGAAAGTGTAGAATTCGAAATAAATTCATTCAGGAGAATTTAGGTGTGGCACCAATACGCGATAAGATGAGAGAGAGTAGACTTAGGTGGGTTGGCCATGTGTGGCTCCAACCAAGTACAACACCTGTTAAGAGGTGCAAATTAGTTCAAGTGGAAGAGCTGAAAAGGGCAAGGGGTAAGCTCAAAAAGACGTGGTTGGAAGTAGCCCAAAAAGATATGGGGACTTATGGCCTCACTGGGAGTATGGCCCTTAATAGAGTAAAATGGTGGGCCAAGATTCATGTAGCTAACCCCAATTAATTGGGAAAAGGCTATGATGATGAAGATGATGACGTTGTATGTAGTTTTTGAGTTTTTACGTTTTTTCAAATTTTTCTGATTTTTCATCATTTTTACTAATTTTGGGGACATTTTTAAGGACATTTTTGGGGCCTTGGTCGACCAAGGAAAAACTAGGACGTGCCCAAGGAGCTTGGCTCGGCCAAAGGCCAAGTTCCATCCCCAAGCCACATCTTCAGACACTGCGTAAAACCTTGCATTGGCCAAATAAAAATGATAAGAATATTGCAATCTAGAGAGCTCTGGATCTAAAGGGAAAATGGTTGAAGCAAAGTAGCCACAAGTCAGTTGACTGCCCCCCACGTGGCTGTGAACTACCTAATTAAAAGGTTCAGAAGATGAGTTTCGGGCAAAGGCTCAATCCCCCAGTGCATGAGGTGGAAGTTGTGGGTGGTAAGTCATGCATTGAAGTTTTCTATGGTGTCTAAAAGTCACTCAACTATATTCAGAAAGTTCTATTTCTGTTATAAGAAGAAATGATAGCAAACTGACTTCAAATAAGTTGATCTCTATTGTCTTTTTTATTGTTGATCTCTAATGTCTGTTTTAATTCTTCAACCTAAGGTATCACATTTTCAACCACCCTTGGAACCAAACCTCCTTCTCCCTCAAAGATAGATTCTCAATTTAGGATCAAATTATGAAATTGATCAATCCAACTAAGTGGCTAACTTTGTCATGTGATGCTTCTTTCAGCTACAGCAATAAATGAGTCATTTGTTTAGATTCTCTAAGACTTTCTTAAGGAACACAGAAGTCCAACACCAATTTGTATAAAGCATTGAGGACGGCTGAATAAGGTAATGAATGAAAAAAAAATATATATTCACTTACAGATAAGTATTGTTCACTGCCATCCCACACAACCATCTTTGGAAGCTCTGTCTTTTTATTAACATCAAATGTGTCAACAAATTCTTCCCACTGTATAGCTCCAACATAACCAAAAACTAGGTCACGGTTTGCAGATGCCGCAGCTCTCAATGTTTTGATTAATCTCTGTGATTTATCCTCCAATTCATCCTTCACTATTGTTACAACGATCTTCCTCTCCTCATCCCTAAATAATTTAAGTGTGTCATAATTCACGGGCACACATAAAGGCAATAAACTTTGCTTGATATACTCTTCCAAGAACTGATCTGCAAGTTCAAAGAACACAGCCCAAGTTGTCATGACACATACAGGCTGCATAAATGCCTTTAGCATGATCAACGTGCATCAAACATGTGAGGATGCTATATTACTGCAGGATAAATCAAAAGCAAACGGCCAAAAAATACAAGGAACAGCTCAAATACATTAAGCTTGGAGTAAAAACAGTAACTTTTCATGTTAAGAAAGAGAGAAAAAATTCATAGTGAAATCCCACCAAATCCTGAGAAAAGACTAAAGAATAAGTAAGTACTCATAAAAAAGACTTTTCTTTTTTGCTACTTGAATTTGTTATCTTGTCAATAAACAGATAATGTGGAAAAGTCAATCACCCCTCTAACAACATAAACAAGTACTCTGTCACATAAATGGTAATGCAGAGGATAAGTTTTCGACCTGTATCTATAAAGCTCTGAAGGAACACGAATATGATCAAAACAAGGTGTAAAAGTTCAGGAAAACCTCCCACCTTCAAAAGGTCCATAGAAAACCCCTTGGTCATTATAGCCTGGATGAAGTGAAACCAAAGCAGGAACCTTGTCAAAATTGTATGTTTCCATAACATCATCAGAAAACTCCTTTGCTATGGAAAACCATGCCCTTTTCTTATATGACTTGGCATACTCTTTTATCAAGGATTCATTCAATCCAAAGCCAATGAAAATTGGGAAATATGTCCCTGCTGCTTCAACAAAATTACTGATAGAAGAATCTGATTCCAGAATTGAAACATCAGCTGCGACAAACTTCTTTAGGAAACGAACAAGCAAGTCAGCTTTTCGTGGGCCTGAGTAGTCTACTGGGTACCCATGCATAAACATCTTTAAAGTAGGATAACCACTGCAATAAACAAGAGTGTCCTCATTCATTATCATGACATAGAGATAGTTACAAACTAGATGTTACGTAACATATGCAAACAAATTAGTTATGGTATTTCAAATAAATGCCAACATGGATACCTTAAATTTCAATTTGTGGGTTACTGAACCAACAATTAAAATCGCAATAATAAAAAGCAGGTGACCTCAGGTGTTTACCAGTAGTTCCTGGGGATTTAAGAATATGATTTCAAAGACCTTTAAAATATTGTGGATTAAATATAAAGTTAAAAAGTTTTATGCAACAAACATTTGTAATTTTGTATATTAAAAGCATATGTACCAACATTAATAAACTTTTAGTACATTTATGTGTGACCGATCATTAATCATTATTAACCAGTTACCTATAACTGAAAGAAATTGGGTCCATGGACCCATTGGTTTTCCTCAGTAATAAAAGCTTCTTATTTACGTCCAAAGAGTATTTAACTTCCTTTATTCCCCACTAAAACAATATCTACAAACTACAACATTCCTAGAAACTCCAAAAAGGTTTCACTTATGTCGATAAACTTCCAAATTTGCTTCTTCTTGTTTTTTTTCTTCTTGATGGTTGATGTACTTGTTTTCTCATAAAAAATACACATAATATCATTCTACCCTTATGGTTCATAAAGTTCACTTATTAATCAGCCATTTTATTTAGAAAAAAATGACATTTTCCAGAATATAATTCCATATTTTTCTTTTCACAACAACAAAGAAGATAATGATTACAAACATCAAGTTGCACTTGATGTTGCAGAGAAATATTGATAGTAATGAAAGAGGTTAGGAGGAAAAAGAAAAGGCAGAGAAAACAAAATAGAGAGACGTTGTCTCCACAAGAAAGTCTCCTTGCTAACTGCCACAGGCCATAATGTCTGTAATGCCTTTGATCTCTAAGAAAAATTACTCCAATTATATAAATGTAAAAACACTACAAGTTGAAACCTTTCTTGCTACTTTTTGTGATTTCTGAGATTTGGATAGGCCAAAAATACTTCATGGATCCCCAACAGCCTCAAACCTAGAAAAAGGCTTCAGACAATATTGCAGCTTTTTCTAGACAAGTTCGAATTTTGGAGTAAGTTGTGTTAATCCTATTAGACCATTGAGCAAGATTCTCAAAGGTTTTGATAGCAAGGTTGTTCACCTAGGAGCCAAGTGGTCCAAGCACCAAAAATCTGTCGAGGCAGTTACTAAAGCACTTGAGTGGCTTCTTGGGGTATCTCACCTAAAATGGGCCCGATTGAGGCACCTAGCTCCCAATTACTTCCCTACCTAGCACACTTTAACTAACCATGGGTAAAATTCAGTTCTTTCTAATGATTTAACATTGCCACTAAATTTCAAGAGATGCAGTATTCAACGACAAAGCCACAAGAACCATTGCCACGATATTCAATCCCCCCTATTTTTAGTTAAGGGGTGCTTTTATCGAGATTAGCAATTTAATATTCTCAACTCATCTCACTTTGGATCTAAAGAACCCAAATGGATTGGTTGGACCTATTCAAATAACGTATATTTTTCTAAAACCAAAAGAAATCACAAAATGGTTTTTATTTCTGGGTTCAAGAATTTACTTAAAGCCATCCCTATGAAACTTGCAGAAAAAAATGAGTACTTAATTATAATTCAGTGTCCAAGTTCTTGACAACTGAGAAATCATGTATTTACTTCACCAAAAGTAAAACAGAAGAGTAGAGTTTAGAACAAGTGCATACTCCACATCATATTTTGAACGGAGGCTAGTGTACTTGTCCGCATTTACTTTGGCAATCACAATGGGTTTGTCCAATGCTGCAAGCACAGGAGCAGCAGCATCTAACTGAAACACATAAATTTCAAACATGATATAAGTTGCTCTGGCACATGGTTTCTCATAATCAGATGCTCAAAAACTCACAACAGAATAGATATTTTGAGGACCCTCACTGCTAGCAGCATGAAAAGCCCTTTCAACAACAAACAATTCAGGAGCAGTTAAGGTCAGTGCTATCAGGGTACTCCTATTTCCTTATGTGTTGCATGTCGACATGTATAGACACTTCACATGCCTCAACATGGACATGGTCTATATGTGTCGGATGAATCAGTCCTCCAACACGGAGTATCAACACTCCTGTCAGACCTATCGATTGTAAGACATTCCTCCTGTCAGGCATGTCTATTATATAGACATGCAGTATCATCATGTTATCTTGCAAAAATATTTAAATGTCCATAGTGGGATTTGAACACCATGCTATCAACATCATATGTATTAAATATTTCAAAGTTATTCTGCAGCTAGTATTGCATGAAGCATTATTTTTTAAATAAACCACCGGTGCGATTTGAACCTTCAACGTTTCAATAAAGAGGCAAAAGAGCTAACCACCATGCTATCAATGTCACATGTGTCATGTTTTTCAAATTTATTTGATGTGTGATTTGAACCTTCAACCTTCAACGTTTCACGTGAGGTGGATTGAAAGTGATCTCTTCCTTTATTCTTGGTGGGAGACAGAGAAATATGTGGGAAAGAGAGATAGTGGGTTATGTGGGGGAGAGAGATTTATGGAGACTAACATGGGGGGAGTGAGAGAGAGAGAGGAGGGGGGTGTTAATGTGGTTGAGATAAGGAGGTACAAACATTAGAGAGAGAGCAAATTTCTGAACTTCTATTTTATCGTTATTTTGGCTTGTATATAAGGTGGAACTTTCCTCTTAGAAAGGGACTTGGTATTTTGTAGAGAGTTTTTATTTCATGAAAGACGAGAGTGCTTCTTCTTATCCTTGGCTTGATTTACAACCACTTATTTCCTATTATTGTCTAATTTTTGCTTGTTTTAAGATAGAAAGAAGGCCAGATTTTATTTCCCGAGCGTCTTTCGCATCATTTGGTATCAGAGCATGGTTGGTTCGAAAAGGGTTAGCGACTACGATGGCTGGTCATGGAGGTCACACTGTAGGAATACCAAGCAGGACCAAATATAGAAGAAAATAGACAAGTTGAGGGAGATGGTTGAAAAGTTGTTGCATAAAAAAATATTACGACAGCATACATCGAGCAAGATGAAATCTACAGTGTTACATCCATATTCTGCGAGTTTTTGGGGAGATCAACGTAAATCAGAGCACAGGTCTGAGTAGGAACAGCCTGATGTTATGCTTGATCGCACTTATAGGTTCGATACACAACAGCATCGATGGGAGCATGAATGCAGAGGAAAGTTGGGTAACTGACTATCCCAAAGCCGATGTAATTGGCGTAGGGGAGAAGACCAAGATCAGCACAGAGACGAGCAGAGAGAATTTTGTCACATACGAATCCACCCCGGGAGCAAGATCATCCCAGGCTAGGAGACTAACACCTCCAACCCGGTGAGTTGTTATTCCTAAAACAAAACCGCAATATGAGCATCAAACAAGAACAAAGACGAAGGTTTGTGAGTTATTGAGCAAAGAAACCCCAAATTTGTCACCAAGATGGTTGATGGATTCAAAGATATAAAAAACCCTAAATCTTTTGAGAAAAAGTTAGATGCATTTGTAGAACAACCAGCTGAAAAAGGAGAGTTTTTTTTTTGAGAATGTGAAAAAGGAGACATAGTTTGATATATGTCTAAAATTTTTATAAATAAAAGGATGGGGGTTTCTAAATCTAATGATGAACAAATCCAGTATTGTGTCAAAAAAAAGGAGATTATGACGTTTAACATTATTTCTATTCAAGACAATGTTGAATTTGCAAGTGATTCACTCCTAGTGGACATAGAAGAGCAACACACGACTATAGTCATAAGGGATTTGGGATTGGATAAAAAAATAGAGGTAATGGTTTCTAATGAATGCGAAGTGTTGATTTATATACATGAACTATCTTTGTTGTCTTTAAGTGAGGAGATTCCACCTGAATCTTCCAAAGAGGAGGGTGTGGCTCACTCTCAATCCGACAACCTACAGAGGAAGGTGATGTTGGTGACAGTGCTCGTAACGGTGTTATTTCTCTCGATGTCTTTTCTAAGTCTAAGGGGCTATGGGAGATGCAGACTAAGGAACTGGAGGTATTTTCAGCTTGGTTTGATGATAGTGGGCTATAATATAAGTAATGTCCACCTAGAAGTTGATAATGATGTCCTCAATGGTGAAAGAGAGGTTGAGTCATTGTTTTGTTCTGAGTGGAAAATTCTGCTCAATTCACAAATTTTGGGCTGAAAGAAACTACAAGTTGAAAATATGACTTATCTTAATCCACTTACAAAATTCGTGGTCGAATTTTCTCAGGTTTCTTTGATCATGAGTCACAATGTTAAAGGGAGATGGAGGCCATGGTTTTTTACTTTCTTATTCTACTCTTGCTGGTGTTTATGTATTAGATCGGCGCAGCGGATGTATGGAGAATATAAGATCCATTAAGCAAATTCATACTAAAGCTCCGAGGCGTGAATACATAAGTGATTCTCACATTGCCAATGTACTTTATTGCCCCATTGCAAAGTTGGTAAGCTCCTTGTTGCAACCTTGATGCTTGATTCCATGAATTACAGTGGCAAAGATATTTGTGAGATTGTTTTGATTGGAGCTCTTAAAGAAGATATGGGCAATGACATCTTGAACGCCTTTCTTCTTGTACTTTGTCATGATTTTCCCCTTGCTGCGGTTAACAGTGCATGCATGTGCTTGAACTCGAGAGATTCAGCCTTGAGTATTCAAGTTCATGGGTTAGGTGTTACGTGGGGCTTAGATTCAAATGATTTTATGGGGGATTTTTTTATTGCACTTTGTGTTAGCTCTGGTTCATTGGGGAATGCATAGTTTTCTTTTGAGAACTGGCAAGATAAAGGTGGTCTTAGATGGGGGCTTTATGATAGGAGCTTGCGTTTCAAGTTCATGGAAGAAGAGCTCTAAATCTTATTTCAAATTTCATGGGTTTGGGCTTGACATTGAGTGAGCCGACTTTTGCTAGTTTCTCTATGGCATCTGCAGCTCTTTTCATTCTTGAACATGAAAAGCAAGCCCATGCTTTCATGCTAAATTCGATACGTCAAGGGGTTTGAATCAAATAAGGAAGACAAGCATGTATACATAAACCTAAGTTGCAATTTCATTGATACTTTACACCTTACTTTAAGTTGTGAGGTCATACCTTTCTTCCTTGCACTCAAAGGAAGTTATCAACTTAGACTTGAAGCAGTCATACCAATTGTCAAGTTCTTAAGCATACCAGATGAAGTATTTATCGAGCTCAGTAATGTTTGGGGCTATGCAATAGCGGTTTTGCCATTAGTTATGGGCATCATCATCAAGTATGAAGTATGAGCTTCACTTCCTGAGAGATTTTGGGGGATTAGTAAAGTTTGCAACTTGTGTTGAACTCGTGGAGTTGGGTGGTATTTGCTTATTTCCTGGGCAAACCTTTCAGTCCAAGCATGGGAGAAAGCTTTTTTGGTAAGGAATCAAAATTCTTTGCTAGTGGAAATAATTTTTCTTCTTCAACAAGGGCAGTTAATTTTGAACTCTCAGTCAGCAATGCATTGGTATATGCTGAATGGATGACCATCGAAGGTACATCTTAGATGTTCAGCCTCATGCCTTACAAAGAAAAATTGCATGGAGATGTAGGGCATCACCATCAGCTAAGAGAAAATGATGATGCAACGGCAAAAACTTGAGATGAGCTTTTCTTCCAACATGGGGAGTATGATGCATATCACATCCGACGTGTTCAGGAATTGGGCTGCAATTTATTTTGGAAAAATTCTAGTGTAGGATTCACTGTTTCAAAAAACATCGGGCAATGCCTAGGTGCCCAGAGGGGGGGGGAGGTCTAGGCTGCCCAGTTCCTAGGCAGGCTCCTAGCAGCCGCCCAAGTTCAAGGGGTATCCAACGATCCTATTTTAGGTCTAGATGTTATATTAAAAATGCATATTCATGTATTTTTATAATATAAACAAAAAAAACCAAAAATACCCATCGGGTGGGGTATTTTTGCGCCTGGGTGGGCGCCTAGGGTCCCTTGTCGGTCACCTAGGACAACCTGCCTAGGTGGTCCGCCAAGGCCTGGACGATGCCCAGCCCCCCTAGCCGGCCTAGGCAGACCGCTTTTTGAATCAAGGTAGGATTTGGATTTTTTTTTTTTTTGTTAAGGTGAACTATAGGACTTGGATGGGATTATTTTATTTGGTTGGGCTTAAACTATTGTTATTGGGGGGACTAAAGAGGTATTTCATTTAGCATGGGGGCAAGAGTAGTAATTAAGCCAAAGTTACTTCTATGGGATAAGTTTGAGTTTCTTTAGGTTGCGCTATTTATGGGATTTTTGTATCTTTAGGAAAAGAAGTGAGAGGGTCTAGTCACGTGAGGTGGATTGAAAGTGATCCCTTGCTTTATGCTTGATGGGAACCACGTGATGTTAGAGAGAGAAATATGTGGGAAAGAGAGATTGTGGGTTATGTGAGGGAGAGAGATTTATGGAGTCTAAAATGGGGGAGGGGTGGAAAGGGAGAGAGGTTAACATGGGTGAGATAAGGGGTACAAACTTAGAGAGAGAAAGAGTTTTATTTTATTGCTATTTTGGCTTGTATTAAAGGTAGAAATTTCCCCTTAGTAAGAGACTTCGTATTTTTGTAGAGAGTTTTTTTCATGAAGGAAGAGAGTGTTTCTTCTCACCCTTGGCTTAATTTACAGCCACTTGGTTCCTCCATTATTGTCGAGTTTTTGCTTGTTTTAAAATTGAAAGAAAGCCGAATTTAGTTTTCCGAGCTCCTTTCGCATCATTTGAGATAATTTTTCACATATTTTATTTGCAGGAATGCTGCACTCAGGTTGCATTCCTGATGCTGTATCATGGTAATTCTTACTGGAAATAATCTCTTCATTAAAGGCTTGATATAGTTTAACAATATTTGCATATAACTTTACTGGCTATACAATATACCAAAGACACATCTACAATGAACCATAACAAAAAGTTGAACAGACCAAAAACGTAATTGGAAAAATTGAAACATATCTAAAAGCCAAAGAAATTACAAGTTTAGGAATTCCGATAAGCAAAAAGTATTCAAGGGCAAGTTAATTTCATCGCTTATAGTTGCAAAGAATGCAGTTCATTGTAATCTGTTTCTTAGTTACAACCTTAAATTTTCTAAAATTGGTGGTACTGCATGTCATTTCCATGATTCAATTCTATAATGGATCTTCTCACATGGTATTGACTTTCATGAGCTTAACTATAATCCTTAGAAATCCAACTTAATCATGATATATGTAAGGCCCATTGCTCAAATTCCAGGTGATCTACTAATGGGATTGTTATCTTTATGTGCTCAAATGTCAATTTATATCATGGTGCAATAAGAAGCCAAATTAATTTTTAAACAAAATGTATAAACAAAGTATGCAAATATCAAGATTACAGTCGTGGAAATGCTACTACTGATACATCATACTTTTGCTGTCTCTTAAGAAGGAAAGTGTCTTATTTATCGCTTTAATCCTTATATAAATAAGAAACAAGCATACAGCAAGAAAAAATGAAGATCACACAGTAAACTTCATGTCAGAGTGTACGGTGTTATTGGACACATCCAGTATGAGACATGAGAAACCAACCTCCTACATGTTCCACCCTATCATGATAACATAGTCTACTCCATCACAAAAGGTGAATGAAAATGGTACAATCGATGCTGTACACCACGAAGTAAGCTGACAACTGACCCACAGGGAAACATCAAATTAAGTGATTTAGTTTAGTCAAAATTGCTTTCTGCTTAAGTTACGCGCATGGAGATTATCAGGTGAGGCAAATCATCCATAGTCCTCGACTTGAATGAAGAATAAACGACATCTCCAAAGTCCTTCTAGGCCACAACAAATCACGTGACAAGTAATTGCTTTATGAAGGAAGGACACCTACCATCAAGCGCTTGGTTTGAGAAATGCCCAGGTCTTCCAAACTGCAAAGTTACCCACGCATTAAATCAAGTTCACTGAGGATACAACGAAGATAACTTCTCGTCTCTAACTCTATTCTCGAGGAAGTTTGACACTAACAAATAATCATGAAATAATAGACTACAAAAATGGATAAGTTGATTATATTATAATGATTAATAATCTAGGAAAATAAAGAGATTGAGGAAGATGTTGCATATAGAATTAGAGTTGGGTGGGCAAAGTGGAGAGTGCAATTGGAGTTTTATGTAATCGCTGCATACTAATGAAGCTGAAAGAAAAATTCCATAGGATAGTTGTAAGATCAGCTTTTCTATAGAGGGCAGAATGTTGGGCATTCAAGAAACAACACACCAATAGGATGAATTTAACTGAGATAAAGATATTGAGATGGATCAGTGGCAAGACAAGAAGGGATAGAATTTGAAATTGAATATTAGGAAAAAGATAAGTGTGGCTCCGATAGGTGATAAAATGTGAGAAAGTAGACTTAGGTGGTTGGCCATGTACAGCGTAAATCCAGTACAACACCTAATAAGAGGTATGCGTTGGTTTAAGTGGAAGGCTCAAAAAATAAAAAGGGATAGGCCTAAAAAGACACGATTGGAATTAGCGAGAAAATATATAGTGACTTATGACAGCCTTACGGACGGCATGGCCCTTGATACAATAAGGCATACTAGGATTCATGTAGCCGACCCTAAAATAGTTGGGAAAAGGCTCTGATTATGATGATGATGATGATTATTATTATTATTATTATTATTATTACATTATTATTATTATATTATACTATACTGATCAAGCTACCTAAACTAGCCCAAACAGACATTATATAAATTGGAATTCTGAATCCCCAGATTAGCCAAGATGAGGAAACTACAAAGGAAAATATTTAGTACGAGTTCCTTACTCATTAAGAAAATAATCCATTAACCAAAGCCCCATAACCATAAAATCAGAATCAGCCACGAGCTTAACCTCGCGTAGCTTTATCCTTGATGAACATTGTATATCTAAAAATTCTAGAAAATAAATGATCCCCAGTAGGTGAAATTCAGTAGAAAGAATAAAAAATTCCAAATTGCTGCCATCTTCTCTCAAAAAAGGGTAATCGTACAATACAACAAAACAAAACAAAAAAAACCCATTAGACAAAGATTCAAAAGCACGAAATAAAAACAGATAAACCCAATGCAGAAATAGACTCAATTCATGACTAACCAAGTGTGTACTGGCAAAGTGTGCACTAGCCTACTCCAGGAAAAACTTCAAATACTGAGAAAAATCAAAAGAAGGATAGAGAAACAGAAAGCAAATTTGCATACACCACACACTCGGACAGATCCAAGAATAAGAAAAAATTGGCTTTAGAACCTCAGGAGAGAGTCGTTTGCAGTGACCACACCATGGGGCATAAAAATCAACGAGTAGATTGTCGAAAGTAGAGATGGCGGAATCAAAATTGGAATCGTCGAGCTCTAACACACTCCCATCTGCTTTGAATGTGTTGATTGATTCAGAGGAGGCGTGGATTGTGCAAGGCAACGACAGTAACAAAACCCACCACCGCATCATTATTTTTACAGTAAAGGCTTCCCTATGATCCATCACCTGTTCTCTGAAATTCAAACATATTCTCGAGTCTCGTTTGATCTTCCAACTTATATTAACTTGCGCCATCATCGGGAGACCGGCTCTTTTTCGCCGCCATTCGATTAAGCTTTGAGTACGCCTTTTTCTATTCGGCTCCCAAAACTGGGAATGCTACCCGTTTTGTTAAGGAACTCGGTTTAAAAAACGGATCAGTGCCTCAGATCAAGCGCTCCAAAAATTCATCCGGAGCTGGGAATCGTCAATTTGGATAGAAAATCTACCGAATGAGTCATCTTTAAAAAAAATCTAAAATAATTATTAAAATTTATTATAAATATATTTTAAAAATTCAATAAAAAATGAGGGTACTACGTTATTAACTCTCATTTTTTTCATCAATTTATAAATATTGAGATATTTTTTTCCTGTATAAACTTATGTTAACTATTAAATTTACATAACACAAAAGAAAAATCATAGAATTATCATAGATAAAGTAGATAATCATACATAAATTACAATAAAGAGTAGACTAAATCGAAAAAAAAATGACCACTAAAATCTCGAATTGACAGCAAACCCTACTAAAAGAAACCCAAATTATTATAACCTAACTAACTATAATCCAAATTTATTACAACCTAATTAACTATAATATTATACACTCAAATTAAAAGTGTTGGTTTAATTTTATAATTATTTTATTATATAAATAATAATAAATCCAAAATATTTTATAATATCATCTAATCTAAAATGTATTATTGACAACTGTAAAAAAAATAGTACATTATATGATTGATAATGAAAAAATTAATAAACAAAATAAAAAATTTGGTTATCAATGTAGAAATTATTAGAATGCATATTAATTTTTTAAATAAAATTTTCATTTTTCAAAAATTTAATTTTTTAGGTTTCTAGAATTTAATTTTTTAGGTTTCAAAAATTTAAATTTTTTAGGTTTCAAAAATTTAATTTTTTAGGTTTCAAAATTTAAATTTAGTGAAAGAGATTGCTAGTAGAAAGAGAGAGATTTCAAATAGAATAAACTTTTTATTTTAAAAAAAAAAACATTATTTCTGCTTATTTTTGTGGGCAACAAAAATAAAATAGATAGCGACCGGGGTTGAAATTCGAACTCGAGAGAGTCCACAAAGAAAGTGGAAGTGATAAACCAACGAGGCCACCTCATGTTGTATGACTTTCATGGAAAAGTTAATAATATATATTAAAGTTATGTCATAATTTAATGCATGTGGGAATTATCCTACATCCAACTAACTCGGGTGCATGCGTGACAGCGGGGGATGGGCAGCCCAACATTTGCGCGTAGTCGCGATGCCCTTTCGTTCAAAGGTTGTGCCACGTGTAAGCTTACTTATTCACCGAGAACCAGCGATGTCCTTTCGATTAGAGGTTCTGCCATGTGTAAGCTTACTTATTCGCCAAGAACTAGTGATTTGTGATATCATACGAGCAGTTCTCTCCGGTTTCGTCGAGAACCGAAGATTTGTGATATCATACGAGCGGTTCTTGCCGGTTTGTGATGTCATACCCGGTTTGTGATGTCATACCGGCGGTTCTGACTTATTCACCGAGAACCGGAGATTTGTGATATCATACGAACTGGTGATTATACTATAAAACCAGACGGTTCCCGATTTGTGATATCATACAAGCGGTTCTCGCCTGTTTGTGATGCCATACCGGCAGCTCACTATTCGGAACTGGCGATTCTACTCTAGAACCGGACAGTTCGGTTCTCGATTTCTTTACACAATAATCGGCATAGGGTTACCGATTCTCGTGTACTCTAGAACCGGACGGTTCGGTTCCCGATTTCTTTACACAGTAATCGGCACGGGGTTACCGATTCTCGTGCCGACTCAGGCGAGTCCGTTGCGACTCATCGATTTTTAAATCATTGATTCGAGTTGTTGCCCGATTCTATCATGGTATTGGACGTGTATTATTTTGGGACCACATACTATAAGACTATTTATGTTCATCTTTATTATGAGGAGGTCGATTTTACACAGTAATCGGCACTGGGTTACTGATTCCCATGCCGACTCAGGCAAGTCTGTTGCGACTCGTCGATTTTTAAATGACTGATTTGGGCTGTTGCCCTGTTCTATCATGGTATTGGATGTGTATTATTTTGGTACCACATACTATAAGACTATTTATGTTCATCTTCATTATGAGGAGGTCATAATTACTCCCATTCACTACACGTCAAATTAGATGGCTTAGAGGGTATTACGAAATTTAAGATTTTTTTTTTAACTTTGAGTTTAGTCAATGGCATACTTATGACCATCCAATTTGAAATCTGATAGACATCACCGATTATAACCTCTTTGTACTAAAATTAACAAGTTTTTTATATTCTATTTCTTTTTATTTTTTGTTTTATTATTTTTAGTCCTTTATTTTTCCAATTTTATCCAACTGCCATTTTTTTATTTTTTTATTTTTTCAATCTTTTATTTTAATGAGTGATGTGATGATCTCAAATCCACTATTTGCAATGGCATATACTTTTCATGTATTTTATATTGAGATGAAGTTGTAGAATGAACCAATTTTATATCACTTTACCTCCAAATAATCTCTCGCACCTTCCCGCCATGGGCCTAACTACTATTGAGGTCTTTTCACATATCAATGATTTTCATAGGCTTCTCTTTTGTTTTTTAAGGGAGAGAATGAAAGAGTTGCAAGAAAACACGTGAGAATGAAAGACATAACCAACCAATTTCATGCCACATTGCATTAGGAGATTTTTTTTAATATATTTTTATTTATGGTATTTGAATGAAGTTGTCATCTCTTTTTGCAATTTTAGGTTTCATCTCTCTTTTAGTGGTTTTGTTTTTTGTTTGTTTTTTTTTGTAAATAAGTGGGGATTTGGGCCCAACTCATTTATCATTAATAGGGGAAGAAAAACAATAATACAAAGATTATGTTACAGTTCTTTCATATATACTTCTGGCCAATTCATAAGAGAGAAAATCTGGTGGCCAAGCTCACCAAACAGTGGCCTCAGAGAAATTTGCACCATTCTTGGCCAAGGAATCGACCACCATGTTGGCCTCAAGATCAAGGGCGACCAACAAGGTGGTAAGTGCAATTGGATGCAAAAGTAAGAATATTCCAATGGAGTTTATGACAGGCCATGACGAAAGGACACCAGAATTTATGGGTCGCTTTCAATGAGTCGAGGAAAACATTTATCTCAATAGCCAGCTGAATAACGGAATATGCAAGTTGCTTTCAATAAGTCGAGGAAAGCATTGTATCTCAATGTCGAATAACCCCTTTCAATGACTAAAACTCAGCAATATTGTTCTCAACATCAGTCCTAGTGACTCCCCCACCTTCCTTTGTCACCCTAAAGCCCTAAGCCTTTTATAGAGGTGATTGCTCTATCGTGTGCTTGATGTGGAACTTTTTGTCACTTGTTGATAAAATATCAAAATATCTGAACTCTCGTTATATTGATGTTTAAAGAATACACAAGACCCACATAAATATATGACCAGCAACAGTCACGTATAGATACCTGTACCTATCATATAAATCAAGGATACCTGAACTTATCATAATCAAGAGATATACATCCATACGACCTAATCTAATAAGGAGCTGCATATCCCTATCTACGATAACACTCCCCTCAAACTCAAAATGTTTTAACAGAGAGCAGCTGAAGTTTGAACAATAATTTTGCAATTAGATCTTCGGGTGCACAACTTCAAACAACTAGATCAACTTCAGACTTCAAGTTGCTTCATCAACTTCAGATGCACAACTTCATATTGATTGATCAACAAGCACATTTGGACCTTAGATTCAGAGTTCAGGACAATAAGATCCGAGTTCATAACAGTAAGATCCAAACATAGATCAGTTGGGAGAACATGACGGGCTCGAGCAATGATATATCAGCATGCCTCATGAACAGACGCCCACTCAGGAACATACAGCTATATCAGAGTAGTATTGAGCAATCAAACAAAATTTTAATATCTTCACCGAAGATAGAAAAATAGTCGAGACAGTCGGAAAAACAGAATGATACTTGAAATAGTCATTAGAACCCAATGTGGGTCCGAGACCAATTCAGCATTTCGCATACCATAACAGACATCATTGACTAACAAGATAACATACTCGATCATAGAGAGAACATATAGGATGGAGTAACAAAAAACTCGCTCATAAGACAGGATCAAATAATGGAGAACTCGAATATCAAACAGGATCGAGAAACAGAAAATTCAATCATGTAGAAAAAGATAAGAACACCAAAACACAAGAGGTCACTAGAGAACACAAACAGACCGCCAACCAACTTTCAAATCAAGTTTCAGAGGGTCAATGACAGTATCAGATCAGAGTGGATGAGTGAGATTTCAGACGGATCTAGACCCTAACATCAAGATCCAGAGACAAAAATAGACAGATTACAGTTTTTCAGATGGGGCATATCGGCCATTTTTAAAGGCCATTTTTCTGAGGTAGATTTAGAGGCAGGTTTCATGTCGGAAGTAGGGTTTCAACACAATATAAATATTTAAAGAATGAAGGTTTTGACAGCTTAATTTTGATGGATATTTCACGAAGGTTTTGACAGATTGTTTTTTACAGAGTACGTTCCTTTATGCAAAAGGAGCAACTTTTTTTTTGCTCTTCATCTCCTTCGCATTCTTGTCACCATCACTCACTTTCTCTCTCTTCTTTCTCGTATCATTATCGTGCCTCAAGGCTTCAATCACCAATGCTAAATACCAAGGCCCTACACACATAGCAACTGTAGTGGCAAAATAGAGAGCTTCTCTAGCCCACTGTGGCCCAAAAATTACAAGCATAGTCGCTATCCCGTAAAACATAATAAAATTCTGGCAATTCGAAGAGTTCAGATTTCGATGAAATGGATGTTGGATCACCGCGGCAGCCAAGATGGTCGGTTTTGTAAAACAGAGTCCAAACACGATCGACACAAGTTCAGAAGTCGACAGTAGGTCTAAGAACGTTCGACAGAGAGTCGAAACACGACTCTGCAAAGAGTCAAAACACAACTCGATAGAAAGGCAGATCAGAGATGACACAGTATACAATTAACTGGCAAACAACATTGGCAAAGAAAACCGCATTTAAGAGAGAGAGACAAAAAAACCGAGAAGGAAATCACAAGAAGAAGGAACAAAATGCACGGATCCGGGCCGCACAAGCACAAGAGAAGAAAAACACATCCACAAAAGGCCCCTCTCTCTCTCTCTCTCCAATAAAACATTTTCTCTATTAATTAAATTCAATCTCCTCTTTACAACTCATGTGCTCCTTTTAAAGGAGTTTGCTTTTATAGTCCTAAATATAACTACTATACTAAGATAACTAACAAAATACTTTTGACTCATAGCCTACCTATGCCTTGCACGTCCTATTCCAAAAGACAACATAAACCTTCCTAATCTAACTTTATCTTTTATTAACAACCTAACCTACTTTTATCAATTAAGGAAATAACCTCCTTATAAAAAAGAAACACGAATTAATACCCTACCATTTATAACCAAAATACTTATCTTACCAACTAACAAACTACACCCTTATCTCTTATTTTCAAACACCAACAACTATCCTTATACCAAACTTTTGTATTTGTCTTTGTTTTAAGGGCAAGCTTTCTATGCTTCTCCTACAATAAAACTTATATACTTCCCCTTATCCAACCGTCCATTCTGAATGGAGGGGATTGCCCCAATCACAATGTCACGCCCCTACACTATTTTATTTTTATATAAACTATTTTGATACCAAATGTTGGACGTCCAATCCTCTATTAAACTCGCACTAGCGAAAAATATAAAAAAAATATTTCCAATAAAACAAAATGACCAAAATAACCTGGAAATCTATAGGGGTATTTTGGTCATTATATTTTATTGAAAAATTATTTTTAATATTTTTTATAGGTGCGCCCCAATGAGAAGATGACACGTACCAAAAAATATCTTCATAAAATTTATATAAAAATATTAAAAATAAAATACTTTGAGATGTCGGATAAGATCAAACCGAGAGTGGCTCTCTTGATCAAAATTAGACGGCTGGATGGTAGGAGAAGCCTAAATCTTCTATGTTGTAGGGGAAGTATAGAAACCTTTCCCTTGTTTTAAAACAAGACTCCAAAAAGAAATACTCTAACTTGCCTAAATAAATGCCACCTAAAAAATACATACATTTTTATAAATAAATTGCAACAAAAATATGGTTTAACAACTTTCCTAAAGAAATTGTATCTTATGATCTAAAAAAACTTGCTAAAAAAAAGTAGTTTAATCAAACTAACCTAAAACCTTATTTTTAACAATTAACCATAATAAAAAAAATAAAAAGTCTACCCAATCTCTAAAAATAAAATTAAACAAAAACAAAATTAAAATTTTGTGGCAACCAGATTTTGATATGCATCATTCTCCTTTGGTTGGAGAAAACTTGACCTCAAGTTTTAAAATGCAATGAGATGAATTTTCATCGCAACCTTCTTCAACTTGATCTTCAACTTGAACATTACAAAATGATCCTTTGACTTGTGGGTTATTGCGCTGATCAAAACACAGTGATTGTGCATTGAAAATGAAAAACCCTCGAGGAAATGGTCGTTGTATGTCGATTTTTCAGCTACATAAACTTGTTGAAATTGTTCAAACTTAATCTTAGGGCACGCCATGTATGCATCTGTTTCTTCATCATGCATCTCCAAAGGCTCGATCTCCTCTGGATTCAACTCAACATCTAAAGTCTCCACCTCTTTATTGATAAGAAAATTAGATATCCTTGTTGTCTCAATGATAACTTCTCTCATTTGATCTTGTTCTTCATTACAGATAGGATCTTCATTAAAGATGCGATCACTTTCTTCTTGCTTTTCGTCAAATTTAGGACCTTCATCAAAATTAGGGTCACACATAACATCATTCATTGATGACTCCAATTGAAGATCCAAACTTATTGGTTCTTCACCTCTCATCGGTTCTTCATCACATTGAGGTAGATCAATCACTCGACCATATGGACATAGATCGCTCTCCCGACCATGAGGCACCCGACACAGAGTGTTAACATGGAATAGGTTCTCAAAAATATACTCCGACTCACTACCGTCATCATAGTGTGTCGGTGCTAGTTTCACAGTGTGTCGGGGCTAGTTTTTGCAACAAGCGCAGGGTCAGTACCTCTACTTGATTTTTCAAAATTTTGCTCTCAAGCTTTTGGAGATCTCAGAGGTCTCGCTTTCATTGGATAGGTTGAGTCCTAATATCCGACTATAAGCCTTGTCCACGAGCCATGATGTCTATCGACAAACACCGCAATCCACAAGAATCGACTACGCTCTTATACCACTTGACGTAGTATAAAATTAATCAGCAAACAAAACCGGCAAATATAACCGTGTTTAAAAGAGAAAAAATAAATTGAGAATAAAATTACAAGAAGAAAGAACAAAACAGGCGGATATGAGTATTTTGCAATGGCCCACAACCATATGAGAAGAAAAAAGCACCCACAAAGGGCCACTCTTTTTCTCTCCAAGAAAACACTTTCTTTATTAATCAAAATTCAATCTCCTCCTTACAACTCATGTGCTCATTTTAAAGGAGTTTTGCTTTCACAACCCTAAAGAAAACTACTAAAATAAGATAACTAACGAAATACTATTGCCTCAATTCCTACCAATGCCTTGCACATCCTATTCCAAAAGGCAACATAAACCTTCCTAATCTGATTTTATATTTTATTAACAACCTAATCTACGCCTATCAAGTAAGGAGTAACATCCTTATAAAAAAGAAAACTACCAATTAATACCCTACTATTTATAATCAATATACTTATCTTATCAACTAATAAACTATACCCTTATCTCTTATTATTAGACACCAACAACTACCTTTATGCCAAACTATTGTATTTATCTTTGTTTTAAAACAAGACTCCAAAAAGGAATACTCTAACTTGCCTAAATAAGTCCCACCTAGAAAATACCGACATTTTCCTAAATAAATCACAACAAAAATATAGTTCAACTTTCCTAAAGAAATTGTATCTTATGATCTAAAAAAACTTGCTAAAAAAAAAACAGATTTAATAAAACTAACCTAAAATCCTATTTTTAAGAGTTAACCCTAAGAAATAAAAATAAAAAGTCCACCAAATCTCTAAAAATAAATTAAACAAATACAAAATAAAAATTTTGTGGCAACCAGATTTTGATCTGCATTAAGAGGTCTACTGAAAACGAAATAAAATTTCTAAATCAGATGGGGGTTGTTTTTGGAGAAGTCGGGGACTGTTTTTGGATCAAGCAACAAAAGTGTGAGATTTTCCTCATTTTTTTTTTTTTTTCCGGTAATGATAGCAAAGGGAGCTATTGCAAGAGAACTTTTCAAATAGCAAAATTTGATCACACAAGGGAACTATTGCAAGGAAAACTTTGCAAATAGCAAACTATGGTTGCTGGTGTTGCTATTTTCTTGGAAATCAATAAACGGTTTGCATGGTGTATTCGGTTGATGAAATTGAAAGATAAATAAAATTGTTAATTGATGGGTGCTTGGAAGGGCAGTTGGACGGTGGGTCGAAAGCACGGCTCAACAGTGATAGCTAATAGGTAGAGAGTTGAAAACATAACTCGTCAGTAGAGCTTCGATCTGAGGTTGAGGAGAAAACAACATGAAATTTTTGGATGGAATGAATATGAGGCCTTGATGCGGATAAGTTGGACAAAGACACTACGGGAATCTCAAATCTGAGGCGTGAGCTCAAATATGTGGTTGAGGAAAAAACAACATGAAATTTCCAGAACGAATAGGAGGCCTTGATGCGGATAGGCTGGGCAAAGACACTACGGGAACCTCAAATTTGAGGTGTTAGATCAAATCTAAGGTTGAGGAGCCTATGGCTCTGATACCATGATAAAATCTCAGAATATCTGAACTCTCGGTATATTAATGTTTAAAGAATACACAATACCCATATAAATATATGGCTAGTAACAATCACATACCTTTACCTATCACATATATTAAAGATACCTAAACTTATCATCATAATAAAGAGATACACTTCCATACGACCTAATCTAATATCTATCTATACGATAACACTTGTCATTTCAAGTTCTTCAAGTCTCCAATATTTGTTGGTTCCCATTTTATCTCTACTAGTTAATAAACTTTGGTATTATTTTTTGAATCGTTTAACTAACTACCATTTCCTTTATTAACTTCCTTGAATGTTAAATGTGGGCATGCAAATAAACTTGCTTGCGATGGGAATGGGGCACCAACTACTGCTTCCTATTTGATCAGAACAATACTGGTGCATTTTTTTTAAAAAAACCATTGTTATCTTGATAAATGTTTGTTTTTTTCTTTATTTGTACGTCTAAGAAGTAAATGCTTTAGTAAATAATAAACGTTAAACGTCTGGTTTGGGTAGGCAAGATCCCCAACGTTTACAAGCGCCATTGACAGTAGAGTTTATAAAAATATTAAAAAATAAAAAAAATTTAGTCCAAGAGATCCGTTAATAATTGCAATGCATTGCAATTTAAATTATATTTTGACTATAAAATAGATATAATAGTGAACGAACACTATGAAGTTCTCAATATTTATATATTTTTGATAAAATAATAAAAATATACAACATAATACCTCTCGAAATATAAAAAGTTAAAATTTTAAGAAATTTTAGTGATTTTTTTAATTTTTTTTATGGCTGAATCTGGCTGATTGGATTTAATTTTTTGTCCCGATCAATCCACCTATCCAATATGGTCGGCGATCACCAATCTATTTTTTCAAAGGTACGGTTTGTATAGAGCCGAGGCTCTAAACAATCAGAATAAAACGCACCTTTAAATAGTATCGAGAAATGTGGTTTCAATATTGAACATTTTTGTGATAGCTTAAAAATATATTTTTATTTTTTATTATAAAATTTAAAGTTTAAAAAATAATATATATCAAACAGATTTACGAAAACTTGAAAATCTAATAAATTGACGGTTGCAAAATGTACTATTTAAAATGCTTAAAATCAATTTTTTTTTGTAATGTCATCTTGCCATGTAGAGTTTTTCCTCTTTTTAAACCTTGATTTGCACCTTACACCAACTTTTTCCTTCTCCGAAAAAAAATTAAGACCCTCGTCATTACTCTCTTTTGCGTCTTTCGTCAAAACCTAGAGCCTCACTCTTCTCTCTCTCCACAGTAGCAGATCTCTCTCGGTAACCAGCTCTTATCTGCTCCTTCTCTCTCTATCTCGCCTCTTAGCTCTTCTCCGAACCCCTCTGATCCCATTCTCACAAAGCCTCTATCTCTCTCTCCCTCTCCCTCTCCCTCTCCCCTCTTCCCTGTCAAGCCATTTAGCTCTTCAGAAGTTCGCGAGTAGGCCCCAGACACAGGTCAGCAAAATTTATTATGCCTACAGTGTTAATCCTGTTGTTTTAATCTTGTGTGGTTGGATTCTCATCTGCCTTTTTCTCATTGTTCCCAACCATTTTAATAGTGAATGGGAGAGCTCTTTTGCTCCTAAGCAACTTTATGAATATGAGCATGTTAGTGAGGTCTTTGGAAGATGACAATGGAGTTTGTGTGAGAAATGTGGATTGTTCGGTATTTTTCCATTGTTTGGTTTTATGGGATGGAAAAGATGAGCTTTCTTGGGAATACACTGGGTTTCTTTTTTATTTATTTATTCTTGTGAAGTAATATATCGAACTTGGGTATTAGGTTATGTAATTATAATTTTAGCACTGTACCCTTGTCACATATGGTTTTGATGATTTTCATTTGTGGTATTCTTGTTTATAGAAATAATGTGGTTTTTTGCGATGTTATAACTTAGTATCATTATGCTGGGGAAATCCCTCATGATTTTTCATCATCACCCTACATGGATAATGTGGTGCTTAATATTTAGTGATCCAATGCCACGAGTAAGTTATGGTGGTTGCTTGTCAATTGCAAGGTCACTATACTGATGAATAATGGGTGATCGATTTGAAATGGGATTGCAAAAGGGCAAAAATTTATTTGAGGCGTCTATTGTTTCCACTCGATATTTTGACAAGCTAACACTGCTTTGCAGCAGAGTACTTGTTGATTCCTAAAACTATTTTTATTTCTGAACCATTTTAAATCTGAATAAGAACCAAGATCTTTCTGTGACGGATCCCCTGAATCAACAATGAAATGTTTCATCATGTTGAGTATTGAGTTGTACTTAGGAGACTAGGCTGTACGCTATTATGGATGAGCTTCTTTTTTTGGTGATCTGAACCATCCATTTTGTTAGAACTGCCATGGATTACCTGTAACATTAAAATCTCTCTCATTGAACAAATATCACCTCTCATCGCAAATGTGGGATTTAGCCAATTTCCACTGTTTATCAAACTCAAAATCCTGGTCAAGATAGCCTCCGAATCTTTTATGTGGATGGGTTTTCTCGGCTAGATTATTTATTTTAGGGTTGAAAGTTACATTTTTTTTTTTGTGGAGTCCGTTTACTGTGCTTTTCTTTTTGCACTAGGTTTTGTTTTCAGTTTCTCTTTTTTTTTTTTGTGTATTTTTTGATTGATTTTTTTTGTTTTGTTTTTTTTTTGTGATGTGCATTTGTTTTTGGTGTTTTTTGTGGAGGTATTATTGTGTGCTCTATTGTGGATTCTTTCTTCTTTTGTATTTTTCGGTTTTTTTAATTGTTGTGTATTTTCTTGCACTGTTTTGGGTTTTTTTGCTCTTTTTTTTTTTCTTTTTCTTTTGACAGTACTGTCATGAATCGCATGATCTTCATTGTTTGCAATGCAATTTTATATCATAGGAAGTTGCTTGTAATTCATTATAGAGTATTTTTTTTTCCTTTTACTATATGAAAAATTGTTTAGATGGTGGACTTTGTTATCTCTATTATCATTGCTATGCGTCTTACGAGGAACAATTATTTCTTTTTTGTTAATTTATTTTTCTTTTTTCTTTTTGTTTGTGAGTATTGTCACAACTTTGTTAAATGATTGAATGTTTTAGTTAAGGATTTATGTGATTTGATTATCAGTGTACATGGTTTGCCTTTGAGTAGTTTAATGAATGGCTTATGCACGGAGAAAATTTAATTTTAGATCTTCATGGGCTTGGGGTTTATATGAAATGATTTGAAATTTGACAGACAAGTGTAGTTGAGACCTCCTTGTATTAAAACTCAATTGTGTCTTTGTATACTGTCCTTTATGTATAATCTTCTTGTCATATCATATGGGACTTAGTATGAGGTTTTCTGACTCATCCTCTGTAATATGACTATTTTTTTTTGAAAAGAAGAAAGAAAATCCCCAAATCCGTAGTTCCAATTGTGGATTCGACATCCCATAGAGTCATAAAATTGTTTACTCTTGTAGGTTTAATTGCTTTTGTTGTGAAATATTTCACAGCAAGATCAATATAATAGAACCTACTAGGATGAATTTGTCACTTTGAAAGCTAATGCTTTTTTGGCTTGTCACCATTGTGTCTTTGGTACTTTTGACCCAGGTTGTCACCATTGTGCCTTTGGTACTTTTGACCCAGGTTATTTGAATTAGACCGGATTAGCCGTTATAGATTGGGAATCGGCCAACTAGTGGTTTATTCTCCTAGCACCCTGGATCAAAATGTCCAATGGATTGGTCGCCAATTGGTGGACCAGCTAGACCGGCTGGTCCAACATTTTGATATGGAACCGGCCGGTAATGACAGTGATTACCCCCTAAATTTACCCTTTTATGTTTTTTATTTTATTTTATTTTTTCTTCATTTAACCACTTTTTTTTTTCTGTTCTTTTAAATTGTCAAATGGGCATTTTGGTCTTTTGGCTTAAAACAATGGGTTTTGGGTTTTAAAAGTCTGCTTTAAAGAGAGAAATAGTTTGGCGATTTTTCTCTCCCTCTCTCTACCCAAAACCTCTCCAACCGTGGCCCTATTTTTCCAGCGCCGGCCATCAACTCGCCCCATTTGAAGTTGCAAGTAAGTATATTAAACCATTTTCTAGTTTTTTAGTTTTATGATTAAAAAATATCAGTTTTTTAGGGTTTTCTAGAAAGAATTCTTATTTTCAAATCAATGCAAAATAATGTTTTTTTTTGTCGATTTGGATTTTTTTTTATCATTATTAAGTTTGTTGTTGTATATTGTTCTTTTCAGGAAGCTTTATATGCATTTTGCAAAAATAACAAAACTAGGCTTGCATTTTTTTTCCTTTCTTTTTCTTTCTTTGTTCTTTAGCACTTTAATTGTCAAAGTGTTGAAATAAGACCTAGTTTATTACCGTAATGGAAGTATGGAGTGCATAAAACACTTATCCTTGATATATTTTACTCTATTTTAGTTTTCTTGGTCATTTTTTATTTTATTTTTTGGTTTGATCTATTTTTATTTATTTTGATATTTTCAGTTTGATGTATGTTACTTTATTTTCGGTTTGATGAATTTATAACTGGAAGTTTTTGTGAATTTGTTTGTTCCATTAATGTTTTTGAGAAATTTGTTCCATTAAATGCTTGAAGGCTACCATAGTACTATGAAATTTTCATGACAGGTGTTCCTAATTGATATTATGGTTTTTTTGTCGGCATTTTTATCTGTGTATGAAATTTGATTTTTTAGATTCATTTTTTAGCTTTTTTTTTTGTAAAAGCTTAAATCCTTATATGGAAAATGTTGAACTATAATTACCCCGAAAAAATAAAAAATGTTGAACTATGGATTTTTTTTTTCAAAGTTGGAATCTTATGCTTTTCTTTGTAATTTCAGTTTTGGATTTAGAAAAGAAAAGGATTTTGAAAATGTTTTATTGAATTATTAAATTTGTAATTTTAAGTTTTCTTTTGTTTTTTGCATTTTCATTTTTTTAAGTGTGAATTGTCCAACCTATGAACTGGTCTGGTGCGGTCAGTCTGATAGGACCAGTTCCCACACTGGTTAGGCCACTGGTTTGGTATTGATAACACTACTTTCAAATTTTTCAAAGGAATAATAGAATTAGAAATTCAGAGCATTTTTTAATAGAATTTATGAGCTATGATGTGTGCATATTACTACCAGTTTGCAAAGTTATTAGTTATTGAGTTGCACTACTTGTAATATTTACTTCTTTATATATTCAAAATGTAGTTACGGGATCTCCTAACCTAGGTATCGATCGCTCTCCAGGGTCACGCTCTAGCGCTCCTAGATAGGATCTTCATGTGATCTTGATCCTCACGTTTTAGGGATTTCTCCTTACCAGTCGAAGGCACAACAAAAGGCCATGAAGATGATGCATTTATTAGTCGCGATCTCTCTCTCTCTCGCTCTCTAATGTTTTTGGATGTAAATTGTAAATATGCAAATAAAGCAGCTTGTTATGCTTTTAGATATTGTAAAATGCGAAATGTGAATAAATTATATTTTGATCATTACAAAATTGGTTCCATAGTATTTTTATTGGTTATCCTAATGTGCCTCATCATAACATTTTTTATTGTATTATGCAAGTTTGTTGTTGCATAAAACTACACCTTAAAGGGATTAAATTTATTATTTATGAATTAAATAAATTTAACGAATAAATAATTACTTTTTAATGTCCATTTTTATGTGCCCATTTTTATTGTATTTTCTGGGATTATTGGGTTTTTGTTTTTTAATAAAATTTCTGATTTTTATAATACTCTTTATTAACTAAAAAGCTGTACGTAAGGCACTCTTGGCTTGGGAGCTTTCTGCATGTGTCGATCCATCACCCCCACTCCCGCACCCTCTCCCACACTCGCTCCCGCACCCGCTCCCGCTCCCGCTCTCCCGCTTCCACCCCCTCCCTCTCCAAGCAACTATGAATCAAAATAGTAACACTTGTTTGTGGAAGAACTTTTTATCTTCTATGCTTCCTTTTCATTGTGTTAGGTATAATTTCCTTGAACTTGAAGTAGATTAACATATCCCCATTGTGAAAGTGAAATCAGCATTTCTCGAGGTGTATTTCTCAATGTTTCACAAGGGTCACTTTGGTTTCCTTAGAAGCAACCATCAATCAAGAGTAATGATATAATTCCATGGAATTGAACCACTTTTTTCGATTGTTATTGTGTGAATATTTTTTTCGTTATCTGATGGAATTGAAGTGCATTGGTATGAATAATTTTAAATCTATCAAGAATTTAATTATAAAGGTCCCCATGCAATCTGTCCTAAAGAATAAATAAATAGTCTCAATCCCCGTTTGTTACTTTCCGTCTGAGAGACCAATGATCTAATGTAATCATAGACTCTTGATGACACCATGAATTGGATTATAAGGATTTTGTTTTGATCTGCAACCAATATGTGTTGAAGTTAATCAAAGATGCAAAAATATACTTTGATTGTGCAGTTAAACAAAGTGAAAATCACTAA